CCCCAGTGTGACAGCACAAGAAAACTAGAAGATAATGAAAAAATCCTAAATCTCCTCTCATCCAGACTACAGGCCCCTATAGCTTTCAGCATGTCCCACATACAATAAAAAGGGATGTGAACACTCACCGCACTTCACCATCCCGACTTCATAGCACTTCCGAAGGCGGCAGGCTTGGCAGCTTTTGCGCCGGTTCTTATCTATTGTACACTGATTTGTAGCTGGACAAATATAATCATTATGTCCTACAGCAGAGAAAAAAAAAAAAAAAGGAAGGTTATTGTTACAATATTTTGGTTAAATATCTTCCTGGTCAACAACACTGATTATTCTACCCAGGTGAGAGATGAAGGATGTGTTTTTGACAACAGGCACAGGTACAAAGGCCACAATTCGGCCTCATCCATGCCTTGTCAGTAAAGGAAACCTAGGAATATTTTAATATCCTACTTTTTGACTAAGAGGTTATTCTCTGCAAGTTCTTAGAATTCTCAAGTGATCTATTTAGAAATATTCTCCTTTGGACATGGAAAGTGAGACAGTCACCTAGAATTGATTTGCTCCAAATCACAGAGCTCCTCAAGTATTGGGTTACCAAATTCAACTGCTTATATTCTTTAATATATATTCCTCTTTGAGATTTAACATATTTTTGGGGGAAATTCATAGTCAAAAGAACTAAACTAGTCAATAAGAGAATAAAGAAATTAGCAAACTAAATAAGAACAGAAAGAACTGCTACTTAATAATGGTTGCAGATTAGATTATTCTTCTCAATTCTTTACTCCCTCCCTCAGACTTGTGGCCTTGCAGGGTACTAGAGTGGGCAGAATATACTTCCCCACCAACTGATGATGGACTTGGCCATGGGACTTGCTTTAGCCAGTGGTATGTTTGTAGATGTGAACTCAAGAATTAGAGCCAACTCTTATGGAGCCAGCCTAACCAACTCAGACCTACAACTAAGAAAAACAATGCTCATTGTAGTAAGATACTAGTCATATAGCAATCTCTGATTAAAGACAAGGGTGGTACTTTTAATTATTTTAAGTAAGGAAGAGATAAGAAAATTTCCATTTCAGAAATTGTTTCATATGATACATGAAGGAATAAATGGAGGCAGCAAAACTGATGGAGGCCAGGAGACCAGGTTAGAACCTGCTACAGCTGTGCAAACCAGAGATGAGGCTGTCTGGACTGGTAAGAGGGAAGATGAAGAGAGCTATATGAATCTGACAGATTTAGGGAATAGAACAGAACAGAATTATAATAAAATAGATGAAAAATAAAAGTGCATAGGATATTTTGGTACCTTTATTTCTTAATTGTGTCTTTCTAATAAACAATATGGCTTGAACTTCTTACATTAAAGCTACAATGGGCCAGAATTTCAACATGAGAAATGGATGAGTCTGAATGATAAATAGGCAAGTCATAAAAGAAACAAATTTCACACACACTAAAAAAATTAAATAAATAAATAAATAAATAAATAAATAAATAAATAAATAAATAAATAAATAAAATAAAATAAAAAATAAATAAAAAAGAAGATTCCATTATGTAAAGTTCAAAAATAGAGGAAACTAAACTATATTGTTTAGGGAAGCATGCTTAGGTGGTAAAACCATGGCAAGGAAGGCAGAAGTTAGAATAGTCTTACCTCTGTAGAAAGGGAAGGAGCTGTAACTAAAGGGACTAAAAGGAGCTGTGATTCCTCTGACTTACACCCAGAGTAATCCTGGGGCTCTAAAGATATCCTATTTTATGGCCTGAGCACTAGTTACACAGAAGTTTGTACTCTTTAAACTGGATGTAAATAAATACTGGAACAAATACATTCCTTAACTCTACCCTCCGAGAGAGCTGGAAAGTAGGGCTATCTGAGAGCCATGGCTGAACTAGCACCCAGATCTTGGCTTGTAAACATCATTCTCCTTTAAGAAGAAACAGGGCTTTTTGGAGAAACTGCTGATTTCAGGGCTGGGGCAGAGAAAGTACAAGATGAAGCTGAAACAGCTTGTGCTGGGAAGTAAGGAAGTGCCCAGGAAGTATGGGTACATCTCTCGCACACAAAGAAGCCAGTTTAAAGGAATCTTATTGACCAAATCTGGGATAATTTGGATACCCAAATAAATAATGATAGTAATAAATAATTACCAATTGTAGAAAATGGGAAATGACAAGTAATACTGATATAAATTAATTAAAGGCTTAATAAAGAATGGAATATCTACATTCTTTCAAAGGATCTCAACAAAAATATTCATTAATTACAAAGGGGAAAGAATAACTCACAGTATAGAAGCCTGGCAGACATCACCCTAACCAAACAAAGTGCACATCACTAGTAATGGGACATACAGAAATCAGGCACCACATAAAAGGAGCCAGTCAGAAAAACATAGCATCACTTCTGTGATATTCCTGCCAATAATATGTAAGTTAATTCTACTAATGAGGGAACATAGGCAAACTCAAAGTCAGGGGCATGCTGCAAAATAACTGGCCTATAAGGTTCAAAAGTGTTAAGATCATGAAAACCAAGACTAAAGAACTGTTGTGGACAGAGGGAGGCTAAAGACATAACTAAAAACAAGGTGTGGTTCTGAACTGCTTCCTTTTGCTGTTGAGGGCACTGTTGAGATGATAGTAATGTATCAAAGCTAATTTCCCAATTTTGACTTGTGTTGTAGCTTTATAGGAAATACATGTTAAAAGTATTTGCAAGTGATGGGGCATAATGTTGGCAACTCATCGTCAAATGATTCCAGGAAAAAAAGGTTCTTTATATTGTATATGCACAATTTCTGTAAGTTTGAGACTAAAAAAAGCTTCCATTGGCTTCTCAAACAATATAGCTGCTAATTCATACAAATTCACACAAATACAAATATATACAAATACTTAAATACAGATAAACTGAGATTTATCTATATTTCAAATGCTACTGTTTTAACTCCTAAAATTAACTTTCCTTTTTCCAACTCACCAGATTTTAAAGAACATTTCCAAAAAGACAGGGTTCCATGTTTGGACCACAATCAAATTTCATAATTTTTTCCTACTTTAGGTAGAATCCAGTAACATTTGTTCGGCAAAACAAATTGAAATTCAGTTGTTTGTGGCTTTACCACCATGCCCTGAGTTGGCCTAGGGTGCCAGCAAAGGTGCAGTCTAGACAGTCCTAGAGTGTAAGACATCTCCCTGAGAGATGCAAAAACCAGTTTCTCAAGCAACCCTCCATACTGGGCATGTATAGGAAGCAATGTCTGCCCAGCCTGATGCACCAGCATTTCTGACTACCTACTGATTTTTAGGTTCTTTTCATCAACATTTCATTTAATCCTATAACTTCCCTATAAAGAGCTATAATCCCCATTTTACAAATGAAAACACTTAAGCTTAGTTCAGTAATCTCCTTAAGGCTATTAGTTTTAATTTTCTATGTTGCATAATGAATTTCTATACATTTATAAGCTTAATGAGACAAATTTGTTATCTCATAATTTTCAGGGTCAGGGTCCAGGAACAGTTTAGCTGGTTGCTCTGCTCAGGGTCTCACAAGGCTGCAGTCAAGGAGTCAGTCAGGCTGTGGTCTCACCTAAAGGTCCTCTTCCAAGCTCATTCAAGTTGTTGACAGAATCAGTCCCCTGCAGGTGGGACACTGCTCTCAGCTCCTAGAGGCAGTTCACGACATGATGTTTGCTCTTTTCCAAGCTAGGAGGAAAATATCTCGCTAACTTTGTCTCTGTCCTATCTGCTATGATGGAGTCTAATATAATCATATCATAATCACAAGAGACTATCCCATCAACATTTGCTGTATAGTGTAACCTAACAAAGGGAGCAACTCTGTCATCATATTTACAGGTTCCACACATGCTCAAGATTATCTTGTTATGGCTTTTATCCTTCCTTACAGTATTCAAAACTGAATTGTATTTTAAAAGCCAAAATATAATTATAATCAGAAATCTTCTATTACACTTTAGAACATAATGCTTTATAATTAGAAGAAAAATGTAATCCCACAGTACTTTCCATTGTAGTAAAAAGCTTTAGTATCTTCTAAAAATTCTAAGAACAATACATGCTGTCATCCTTATTGGTTTTTTAATGAGGTTCATAACAATAAGAAGTTAAGGAACAACTAGAGGTTCACTTTCATTATTTTCTTCCTCAGTTTATTTTTAAACATAATTTCACATTTAAAAAAATAATCAGGAAGCACAATGATATGAACACACTCAATATAAATAGCTTAGAAGATGTCTCAGGCAAGAAGGTCGTGGTAATTCACTTCACTTCTGGCAAAAGAAAAAGAAAACAAGTCCTCCTCAAACCGCACTGACTCCCTCATGTATTAAAACAGTTTCTTGTCCCATGCAAAATCTGAGAAGCATGCTACTCCATACCAACAGAACGGAGAAAAGTTTAAAGCAAAACTAAAAGCAAAAGATGTAGCTAATTCTTTTAGTTGAGATGTAAAACTTTATAGGAAAATGTGCTTTTTATAATATAAAAGATTATCTTCATTCTCTCTGAAAAATTCAGTCTGCCTGAATACCTATTATCATTCATAATCAACTGCCTGGGGGGAAGAGACATCACTAGACTTGGACTCAGAAGCTCTGATTTCAATCTCAGCTCACCCTTCCAGTTTTCTTTTTATTTTTTATTTTTTTATTTTTTATCCTCATCAAGGACACTTTTTCCATTGCTTTTCAGAGAGAGTAGAAGAGAGAGAGAGAGAGAAACATGGATGTGAGAGAGACACCTGGATTAGTTGCCTCTCACACACACCCCAACTGGGGCCAGGGATCAAGCCCACAACCAAGGTACATGCCTGTGGCTGGAATCGAACCCAGGACCCTTCAGTCTACAGGCCAACACTAACTGCTGAGCCAAGCTAGTTTTATTTTAAAAACAGAGCAATTTTTATTACCCACACTCTCATATACTGCAACAAACCTTCTGTTTTGTTCCCTCAGGACATTCTTCCTGAGTTCAAGGACAAAGAAATTCCAAGTAATGGAATATATGCCTCCCAAGTAAAAATCTTTTATATATCCTATTGGCTGTTAGAGCTTCCCATGGAAAGCTCAGCCTCTAAAGCCTTAAGAAACTGAGTTAAAGATTCATGAGCAGTGGTCAAATAAATTTTAACTTTCAAAGAACAATGATAAAAGGTTGTTATGAATACCAAAATGAAAGTGAATAGTAGAATATAACAGTAATAATTACAATTACATATGGATATAAAATAAATAATTAAAATAATGAAATGTATGGAAATATTGAGAAATATGCCAGACACACATTTTTAAAAACAGAACCTTATGAGATATAAAAGACCTAAATAAACAGAGACAAATTACAAAGAGTCCTCCCAAAATAATTCTTAGGTTTAACAAAATCTCTACTTTTCTTAACATTAAAGATGGGAAGCCTCTTAATAAAATTATTCTAATATTGTTATAGACAAACAAATAAGAGAAACTAGCCAGGGCATTTTTTAAGTTGAAGGTATTTATACTGGCATGCATTAAAAGTCATCATAAAACTATAATAGTTGAAATAATGTACTTATACAAGAATGGAGAAATAGTAAAACACTAGTGTATATAATAATCAACACATGAAAAGTGCTCAAAATAAAAGTAAAACACTAGTGTATATATCGATGAACACATGAAAAGATGATCAAAATCATCAGTAATCAGGGAAATGCAAACTAAAACCACAATGAGACACAACTACATTCCCAATAGAATGGCTAAAATTTAAAAGACTGACCATATTTAGAAGACTGAAATTCTCATACACTGCTGTTGAGAATACAAAATGATTCAGCCATTATGGAAAACAATCTGTTAGTTTCTTATAAAGCTAAGCATATGCTTATCAGACAACCAGAAATTTTACTCCTAAGCATTTACTCAAGAGAAACAAAAACGTGTCTACACAGAGAGATATGCACAAATGTTCATACGTTGGAATATTAGTAATCAAAAGGAATGAATTACTGATACATCCAACAACACAGATAAATCTTAAAACATCCTAAGTAAAAGAAACCATATATAGATGGTTACATGCTTTATAGACCTGGGAGGCTGGGTGGAAATTAGCTACAACGGGCATGAGGAAACTTTTTGGAGTGATGGTAATGTTTTATATATCAATTATGGTTGTGGTTACTTGACCACATGCATTTTCAAAATTCATAAAACTACTCATTTAAAGTACAGAAATTTATTGTGTGTAAATTACATCTCTAACTCAAAAATAATAAACTCCCATATATTTTTTTAAATCAATGAAAATAGATTTATTCAATAAAACAATGTGGAGAAATGTGACTATTTAAGATAAATATGTTTGATTTTTATTTCATTCTATCTCCCAAAAGAACTGAGTGGCCACTTTCAGGTACTGCAATGCATTTATACCAGAGAGTGCCAAAAATATGAAGAATCATTTGGGCATTTAGTAATTATAAGAGCACTAACTCTTACTCTTTTGCACATTCAGAATGTAACATTCCTTTCCTCTTTCCCACAGCAACAGGTGAAAAACAAACAAACTCATAAACACAGACAACAGTATGCTGGTTACCAGAGGGTAAGAGGGGTGGTGGGAGGACAAGGGGGTAAAGGGGGCCGAATACATGGTGATGGAAGGAGACTAGGCTTTGGGTGATGAGCACACAACACAATACACAGATGATCTATCATAGAACTGTACACTTGAAACATACAATGCATTAACCAATGTCACTCCAATAAATTTAATTCAACAGCAACAAAAAAGAAAGTGGCTTCACCAAATCTGGGCATGGCAAGGACAAGGGAGGAAATGGACTGATTGGCCTTGAAATCAGGTGTGCACAATTTGAAACTGATTAAAAAACAACAACTCAGCCCAGCAGGAATTTGGAGAAGGGTAAGGAAATAGTCTAAACCCAGACCAGAAAACAAGAGGATTGTGAACAGAGGCTCCACTAGTCTGGGGCAAGACATGCCTCTAGATCAATTCTCAAAGTCCACTGGAGTTGAATTCCTGATTTCTGATCATTTCCATAAGGTCAGGAGCCAGCCCACCATCATGACTGTTACACATGCCAGATATTAAACATAAGTCAGCCCTGGCTGGTGTGGTTCAGTGGTTAGAGTGTTGGCCTGTGCACTGAAGGGTCACGGGTTCGATTCCCCAGTCAAGGACATGTACCTGGGTTTCGGGTTCGCTCCCAGCTCCCAGTTGGGGTGAGTGCAGGAGGCAACCAGTTGATGTGACTCTCACATGGGTGTTTGTCTGTCTGTCTCTCTCTCTTTCCCTCCCTCCTCCTCCCTCTTCCACTCTCTCTGAAAAAGCAATGGAAAAAATATCCTCAGGTGAAGATTAACAAACAAACAAAAAACAAAAAAAACCATAAGTCAAAACGTAAGGAAGGAACAATCTGCAATTCCTAATGAATGCACATTTTTTCCAAGCTTTATCTTGTCAAGGGTTGTAACTAGACATCTTCTCCCAAGAAGATGGTGATGGGTAATTGTAGGGCAAGACCCATTTTACTTCTAGGGCTCTGGGGTGGAGATCCACAACTTATAAAGATACACTTGAAACAATCCACCCCACCATACACCCCACCCCCAAATACACCCAAATACTCATCAAGTACTTTGTGTACCAAAGCAGCCAGTGGTGAAATTTTGCCAGGTCATCTGCAAAACTATTTGAAAGCAAAGTGGAAAACTAAAGAAATATCTAACAACACTCTTATACCTTGAATACTTCTTTTAAAAAAGGCTTTACATCCTTCACACGACCAGACTCCATAGTGATATCCTGATGCATAGTCGCTGCAAACAGCACAGACATGGGCATCCTTCTTTGAACTTGGACTAGTAACAGGGCTGGCACAACTGCTTCCACTAACCTTTCTTTTCAGTGTCTCTCTGGAGGCAAAGAAAACATTCATTGTAAAAAGCATCAAGGGAAAAGAGGGACTTTCTAGGAAAAAAAAAACACCAGCATGAGCACTGCCTCATTTATCTCTTTGCCCTCCAGGGTTCATGATGAATATATTCCAGGAAATATGATCAAGCAAAACCTTTGTTACTGGTATCAGATCTATGAGGAGTCATACTCATTGCTGGGAATGACTGATGTTTGAAAGTGGTGAGGCCAATTTATGCCCATCCATGCAGTGCTGATGAGCACTCGTAACTATGGATGGTCAGTTGTAGCCATTGGGATGCACGTCTCTAAGTGTGATAAGCGACCGGATTTAAGTCTAACCCATAGTTCTGAAGCACAAGCAGGGTGTGCCGAGGCCTTCCATAGTTACTAGAGTTCACCAACCCTCCATGGAGGGTCCTAAACTCACCTAACTTTTTTCAAGTATCAGCCATTCCTAACAGTGTCACTAAATAGCCCTTCAGAGTTCCCATTTAAATGTGGGGACAACAATCTTTCATTCTGCAATTGAAGATAACAGCCTAGAATAAAAATAGCTTTAAGAGGACTAACAAATGGACTTTAAGTTATATTATTAAGGTGAATACTATACTCTGGTTTAGAGAGGGGTAAAGGGGAGAGGAG